GACAATGCCGGACAAGGGGGGAGGGGGGGTCTGAAAATCCATCATTTGGCCGGACATCCTTTGTGAATGGCCCCTTATCGATTAATTATATTTAGGGATTATTCATACAATCCATTATTGTCCCCTATTCCCTAATTCATAGATAAACATGGCGGTCAAATAATGTATGTTTGAACGAAGTTTTTTGCTCAGTTCTTGATCAAAATGTGAAATTTTTTACAGATCTGGTGAAAATATGAGTGTAGGAAGTCTTATACCTGTACGATTCCTTACATTAACTGCACATCTTGTTATAACTATCGTTATATTTTGGTCGAAGGTGAGCGACGAGTGAAGTTTCTGACAGTAAAATATATCAGCGTCACAGTGATACTGATATATTTTTGTCGAATATTTCTTTAGAGAAATAAGTTAATGGTAGTTGTTGTTGAATCTTAATTATAATACAGCAATGAAAGATAGTTGAACGTATAAATAGTAATTTCTCGCTTAATTTGCTTGTGAACTTTGGTAGAGATTATACAACTACCTAAAATTATATAAATGGTACCTACACTGGCACCTAAGGCCGATGGAATTAAGGTATCAGTTTATCGTCACCCACCCGCGTGTGTTATTGGCAGCCGCATGAAATTTTCATTATTTCAATAATAAATATTGTTTCATTACATACCTGTAGATTTTATTTTTGTGGAGGTAGCCACAAATCTTCAAATGGAGCAAGGCTGAGCAACATTCTCGTACCCATATCCTGTCTTACACGCGGTTGACAGAGCGTGATGACTGTCGACGGTACGAGAATGGGTTGTGCCGCAACTGCAGATCAAAATTTAGCCTCTGAATGATAAAAAAATGCCAAGTGTGCCGCTAGATAACTAGCTTCAAATGATTTTTGGAGTTAGCGTCACAGCAAGTAACTTCATGCTTTACCTGGATGCTAATCCGACTCTCCTCGCTACACATACTTTTTGGAATTACACATTAAGTTACTCAAGTGTATATTTTGGTTTGGAGTTAGCCCTTTAGACTTTGGAGGTAGCGTCGCTCCATTACTTCCTACTTTCTACAGCCATGTTTCATTATTTGTCAAATTTGTATAGCAAGTGTTTCAAAAATGGCATTTGGTTGAAATTTTTGGCAAATACTGACTTTGTCATCGGCCTATAAAGTGTTAGCAATCATAAACTGCTAGTTCAGAGCCTGAATTGACAGTTGGACATTTTGTGAGCAAATCATAGTTTTTCTGACCAAATGCTAAATTATTGGTCAGACATTTTGCCTAGACAAAAACTAGCAATCAACCTTCTTGAAAGAATGGGTTAAAAGGCGGTTGACTATAAGTTACATGCAATCCTCCTGCAAAGAACATTAAATGTAAAAGGTTTAACTATACTGGCTAGTGTTTGGCGTAAAGTATTATTTATATATTGGCTTAATTTACCCAACGAAGGCATGAAATCAAAATGGAATGTTTGCGATCAAATTCCATTTTGGTCGGACATTTTTCTGGACAAATTTTGAATGTTATTTCAGGTTCTGCTATAGTTTACATGATGGCCTTTTATTATCTAAAATTATTAATGCTGTACCTGTTACAGGATGCCAATCTCTTAGAATGTCTACCATTGTCATATTCTCAGACAGAATATGATGAGAAGGATACCAAGTAAGTAAGTTTAATTAAATTTATGCAATAATATACCGAATAATATTTTCCTGAACTAATCAATCAAATTTCAAAAGTAGCCTGCTGCAGTATATAGGGTAAAATTGAGTAAGTAAATTGAGTAAAATTGAATAAGCTGTAAAATGAATGTAAATACAGTAGAAATTTTTGCTGTACTCTTTTCAGTTTTTATGTTTGAATGGAGGGCACCACTTTTTTATACATTGTGTATATACTGTACACTATGCAGGACCACCCTGAAAATCGCAAAAAGTATGTCACCTTGGCTATAAAGCCTCGTTTTAGTGATTGAGACGTTAGGCTATAACTAGGGTGTATTCCTGTTAAAATATTGTTCTGGTAATAATAAGAAGAAGAAATAGTGAAGTCACTATCCAGTGATTGATGCTATCCTATGATTAATGGAGTCAGGTTTTTTTGCACCATTTTCTAAATAAGTCATTGCATCTTTCCTAGTGTGTGCACTGAGCATGTTGTTGACAAATTATGCTACACATTCCAAATTTTGTTTTGTAAGTAAAGTGAATTTTTTCTATATAATGTTTCTTCAAGTTTGGTAATTGGTCTATCATTGATGCTGGCTTTTCTTACAATTGAACTGCTGAGTTTTCTTGGAGGTGTTTCAATGTTTAATGCTTCTGCATCCATGTTTTGTATCCTTTTATTTCGACTTTATTCTGGTGGAGTATATTGCAGTGAAAAAATAATATACCATTAATGGTAAACAATTAAACATCATGGTTTGGTAGTAGCAATTTACCATTTGGGAGATATAAAACGCTGTCCATGTATAGGATGCGCTGGACAGACAATGATCACATGTATTCACTGTTCAATGGCCCGAGTGGCAGCCTAACTAATTCAAGGGAGTCTACAGTATATCTCACTAAACACAAGTGATCATTGTCTATGACTTAGAACATGATCACATCCACAAAGAATTATTTTTTCTTTATATTTTTGGGAAGTATTTTTTATTATATTTTTTATCGATTAATATTTGCAGTGAGTTCATTGGACTGATTAGTATGCTCTATATCTGACCAGTATGCTCTATATAGAACATACTAATATTAGGCTTTGTTTTGCTTTGTTTATATTTTGTTGAATGCTTCATTAGTATGCTCTATGTAGATTGTAGAGCATACTAATGAGATTATATATGTGAATTTGTTTTCCTGTGATACAAGTCAGGTATAAAATAACATTAGGCAATCCAATAGGGTTTTTTTTATGAGATCTTAACATTTATCCAGCAATTGCAGCGCATGGGATTGGTACAATTTCCTTGTCATTCTTCATCTTTGATTCGTGGGACTGTGATAGATTTTGGTACATTTTTGGATTTTGTAGGTACAGTACACTATAGCAAATTCTTAGTATAAACTTGATTTCACACCTAAAATTGCTGTGTTTACTGCTTCAATTTTTCCTCCTTTATATTATAATGCAACTGATAAACGAATTACTCTATATTACTTTAAAATTTTCTAGTGCTTTTCCTGTATTTATCGAAATCATTGTGATGATCGCAGTGCTTGGCTTAAAAAGAGGAATGTAATGAAAGGATGCAGTGAAGCTTAGCGTATACGCGTTTTGAAGGCATGTATATGTTGTGTGCTGTACCAATTTGGGTGTGAATAAAGCAGCTGTCTCGTGTGAAATTGTTTGGACACCTCTTAATTGTCATGTCATGAAGAAGACAGTATATAAACACATAAAATGACGTTTAGACTGCATTATTTGATCTGCTTCAGAAACAGTCTATGAATAAAAAAACTGATAAATTCTATAAGACGCCTCAGACATCCACTAACAGCATGCATCTATTTAAAAACCTGTTCTTGTGAAACGTGGCATTTTTCAAATATATTTGCATACAAAACAGGAATAAAGCGACTATTTATACCAATGTCAAAATATTAAATATTTTGCATTCAAGTATTCTATTATTGCGGATGAATAAAATCACAGAGTAACACGTTAAAGGTGGGCACGATTCCGTTATGAAATGGTTTCTGTCATTTGCGTTAAGAACATGATTCACATTATCAATAAAGTTAATATATAGTAGTACATTGGCAAAGTTAACATTGTTTCAACAAAACAGCTTCCACTGCTGCATGATGGCGTGACAAAGCATATGATTAACCTCGATCAGAGGCTGTTTTGCGGGTGAATGACGTACCGTCTATTTACGGGTATATCTCGCCGACAGCAGGTACCTGTGAGCATTAATATATGCTTGCTATTGTCTTAAAACGGAATCAACTTAATATTACCTACTGCTGCTTGTAAAATATATTAAACTTCCAAATTATTTCAAAGATGACGTTTGAAAGAGTCAAGACGGACTGAATGGCACTTGCAAATATTATATTCACGGTGCCTGTAGTGAGATACCACGTATATTCTTTTTGAAATAGACTACTTTTCTGAATTATTACTTTTGTTTTACTTGGCTGCCGAAATCGTGTCTCGATCTCCGCTGTCGGAATAGCAGAATTTGTATTTTCACCGAGAGACCACGAGAAAGTAGTTCACACCATTCTACTGTATCATCTATTACTTATTTTGGAGAATATTTTTGTTATACATGAAGCTCAATTACCGGTTGTTTATGGTTTGGTGGAAAACAGTAACATTTTTGCCAAAATATAGTACTCGGTATTAAATAATTTTTGGATGAACAGTATGGAATCATTTGCGCCGTTCAAGCTCGACAGTTTTTCAACGACAACGGTTTGTTAAAGCTCCTTGGAGAATCAAGATCGAAAGAGTGCTGACTGAAAGAACATCTGAAAGTGTTTGCTAACGTAGCTTCTGGAATAAGACTTTTTAAAAGCACTGCCAATATTTTGAAGCATTTGAAGCACTGTTCTATATTTGGGTTATATTGAGTAGTTGAAGATGATGTGCTTAATGGTGTGTCTGTGAAAAGTCCCTCAAACATTTCCTATTCCACTTCCTCATGTCAACTGAAACGACAAGTTCCACTGATCTATACAACGAGAGTTGTAGTAACGCCATTATTGTGGTTTTTGTTTTGTTTTCATCATTTTGTGTTATAATCAATCTGTTTGCAATCATCAGTATAGCAAGACATTGCTCTAGTTCCGTTCCCACCTTACTGGTTTGCCTTTTATCCGCAATTGAACTGCTAAACGCATTCGCGTGTGGAGCAACAACTTTGTACTCGTATTTGAAGACAAGCGACAATTTTGAAAGCAGTTCGATGTTATGCAACTTTTACGCTTGGTTGTACGTCGCATTTCGCATCATGGCTACTTTAATAGTAACTATTCTTATCTTTGATCGAGTACTTTTATCGCTAAGACCGCCATTCTATGTCAAACAATGGAGCTCATTCCGAACTCGATGGGTCGTGCCACTTTCGGTATTTGTCGTCGCTGCAGCGTTAGCTTCGTTACCTTTCGTCGACTCTTCGTACACTACCTCGCCCGATGGTGGACGGTTTCATTGCTTGTTTAATTATACTGAATCATTTGCAGTGTTTTATATTGTTTTTCATTTTGTTCAATCTCTCGCGAACGTCTTGGCCATTCCGTGGGTAATCTCGCGAGAGGAGCGCGTGGACGCTAATCTTAGTGTGCTCCTCGTGGGAGAAATGGCCGTGTGTAGAAAGGGAAATGATGTAGTCGAAGTTCGAAATAGTTTGAAGATCAGTCGTCTGGTTGCTGCAGTAGTGGTGTTGTATCACGCATGCTCCGTCGTGTTTCCGGTAAGGTTTTATTCAGAAATACTATATTTAAAGCTGGTTTACACTATCAGTTTCTGTGATAACAGTAGGAATTTTGCATAGGTAAATTCTAAGTTTTGAAGGATTTGTAAGAAATGTTTGAGCCTTAAGGTAGCTCATCAGCTAGCTAGCATTTCATAGGTTTCATGTAAAGTTAAATAACTCGTTTAACTTGGGAATCAAATTAAGAAATAGTTGTCAGATTACCTATCCATTATTGACCAAAAATAAGCACAAGACTAACTATGATGTGTTTTTTCCTTTTCAAAGCTTATACTCTTACTACGGTTCCTCGATGTTGATTATCCGGCAGCAGTTGGTCTCTTGGCACTTCAAATGCCTATATATGGAGCTATCTTTATACCTATACTATGTGGTTTTACATGGAAACCTTACAGAAGAGCTTATTACGCCTCAGTGTCCTGTCTATGTCCTCCTTCATCGAGAGAGATTAAGACCAGGAGAATTCGTTCTATATATAATCGTAAGTGTCCTTACTTTAACATTTTTTGCTCATCGGTTCATCATTGTCCGCTCTTTTCGTCTTCGTTTGACTTTTCCCTCCCATTCTCTCAATACTTCTACATTTCCCGCTCTTTTTACCTTAAAGTTTCGACTCGTTTCTTCAACATTTTCTTCTTTCACTGGCGTTAGTCAGCTCGAAAGCTCTTTGGCACTCTGCTACTTTGTGTAATGCATATAGTTATATTACGTCAAATTACCTATCTAACATTTTTTATTCTTTATAATATTATATTTTTGTTTAAACATATTTCAGTCTTTTCCCTTATATTATTGATTGGAGTACTGAGATTAATAAGCAGATAAAATGTAATGACTAATGGTTTAATCCATCTTTTCAAATATATTTTCAGCTGCATTTCGTGAGACGAGAGAATATGATGCGAACAGTATCTTGCATACTCGAGGAGTAAGTCTACATCAAAGTACAAGTCAATATGACATAAGCAGTTCTGTGGCTTCGAGTTCTGCCCCGTCAGATCCTATAGAACTGGATCCTAGTCAGCTGATCACTCACCCCGAGCCTGGGTCTTCCCGACGACGACCCGAACTCCTTCCGAGAGCAAAATCATTTCAAGACCAATATCGCTATACACCATCGAAGTTTCAGAGCATTTTTGAAATCATCGATGCTTTGTCGGATCCACGTCGGCACGCGAACGACGAGACGTCGGATCTTTCCGACACCGAGGATTCCCGACTTGATAGCTTAAGTTCCTCTCCAGTTCATTTGAACGACGTTTCCGTGCAAGTGGAAACACATGATGTTTTTAGAGGTGTCAACTTCTCATCGGTGAGCGTTTCATCATGGCCGTACAATAGCAAAGACAAAATTGTAAATAAATCAAGGTTGGGATCTGAACGCCCAAACTCCTTTAAAGATTTTCATTTTGATAAATTTACTAAGAAAGAAGATGAAGACCCTTCACCAAACACCGGTCCCATTCGCTTTACAGATTTAAAAAAGATGAGGCCTGAGCCAAAGGTTCAGACGGTTGGGGATGAGCCCGAACTGCTCAATAAAAATAGATTTATGCGATATTTAGCAAATGAAAGTTATGTAAGCAATAAGGAGACATGATCCGCGTGAATATTTTCTGTTGTAATATTATGAAGGTTGTATCTGGAGAACGGCGAATAACATCAATATTTACTGAATGTATGCACGCTGGTAGTTCGAAGACCACCGATGAATTGCTACATTGATACTGGTAACAGTGTTTTTTGGAATGACCCTTTATAAGTAGGTTATTAAATATATTTACAATAAAACATTTACTGATCATTATTAGCACAACGCCGTGGCATTGGCGTTAGTTTTGCGCAATGACATGGTTGCACATGCAGTAACTGTCCTGGTCGACATTTCGTAGTTGCTTGTCCCTAAAACAAAAATAGAAATTAAACTGATATATATCCGAGACCTTCATAGCTGTCTACTACCATCCTAGAGAGTTTAAGCTTTGCGTCCATACTGTATAGGTAAAACGCGACAGACGTCGATTGAGCAAAGAAGAATTTTACGCTTTAGCGCAATAAAAGACATGTCATTGTAAAAATGAAATATACTGAAATTGACGTAAGAAAGGAAATATGAAGTCCAGAATTTAATTAAACGAAAATTTTGTAAAGCAAATCCGACTCTACAGAGCTCGAAATAGCGGGCTGCCAATGGCCAAAAGCAGGCCATATTTTAGAAATGGCAGGCAAAAACAAATTTGAACTTGAAGTCGAAAAAAAAGTGGCAGGTGAAATTCTATAGATATATTTCATTTCATTTGCTTACCACAACTCATATATACTAGATCATTTAGTTGACTAAATACGTTTATATTTGAAATGTTTGTCCAAGTTCACAGTACTGACAGTAGTAAAATAGACAAGTTTAAAAATAATAAAAATACATAGCATGAAAACATTGATTTATTTCACATGCCAAAAAATTTTAGACTGGGAGTCCATATTTTTCTCTACTCTGCCATTTGTCGTTTCCCTCAAACCTAAACTCCCCATTGGGAACGCACCGATCAAAGGAGAACAAGAGTTGCACGAGAGTTGATGAGAGTTGGCTGAATATTACCAGTCGATCAAACGAGCAAAAAGTCTCATAAACTCTCGTCAAAATCTAAACCAGCTCAAAGTCGATGACAGTGCATGCGAGTTGGCGGTGAAAGGCGAGCGAGAGTTTCAACTCTTACACCAACCCTCGTTTGAACGGGACTTAATTCTTACCGTGAATATTCTTTGATCTACTTTCTGACCCAAGAGTAGGGATTCTTCCCAGAAGAATAAGAACACCTTTTCTGTATCGAGGTAACATCTTGAAATAAAGCAGTGGAGTTAGTATCGGAGCCAGTAGAGAGCACGTTCCTACAATTGCACCCATTTTGTGATTGTATCCTGTACTCTTTGTCAGTAAACTGTGCAAGTTGTAGATCTGAAACAGAGGATGAATAGGTGTTAAACCCTCGGCCTGCGTATATTAGGACACAATTGTTGCGGTTTAGAATCATGATCCTCCCTAGCTTGATTTTTCCTGGTTAACTTAAGAAATACATGGAAACATTGTTCCGGAGACAACATCTTCCACGATTACGAAGCAAAAATATTTCCAGAAACAAATTCAGAAACTGAGAAATATATTCTGTTTCTTAGGTGTGATATTTGTTGGGGAAACAATGTTTTTTTAGTTTGCCTACCTTAATGGGAAGCATGATTGGAAGTAATATTTCAAATCCGACTATGAGGACTGGACTAGATCTCAAGTCCGCGCAAATTGATCCATACGATGATTTGACATCTCATACGAATAAATCACTACTTTATAAAGTGAGGTGAATTCATTTTGATCCAACCCAAGGACTGAATTAATTTTAACTTCACCAGGTATCCAGTATTATCATGTGACCAAAATAGAGTAATATGGTTGGCTAATTTATACTCATGAATTATTAATGAGTTTGAGATACAATGTTCCTGCTACAGTCCTTCCTATACCAGTCAGCAATGCTTTCATTGCAAATCAGTGACTTTTATTTGTCACATCTGTTGTGATTGGGAACTGCCATGTTCAATATTGATCTTTGTGAGGATTTCAACCTTTTTTAATCAAATTTTATTGGCCCCTGTACGGCCACATTGATTGGAAAAAGGAAAATGGCAGAGATGAAGACCTTTCGGTATACCAACTTACCAAAAATGGCAACCATGTTATATAATACAATACCACAACATAACCCATGACTGCACACAACTGTCTTGCTTGTAACATCCCCTGTGTCTCGCCACGACCTTTTTTACTCTTCATTACCCTCCTTTGGGAAGACATCATCGATTTCTGCCGCCGCCTAAAGCCTTTCGACGACACCACCATGGCTACATAGGATCCTAGGACAACCACAAAATGTAGCATGCCGATAGCTTCCACAAACACGCCAAACCCCAATCCAAATTGATAAGGCTGGTAGCGACAGTACACGTCTTTGTTTTCCGTTCGATTGTTCTTAATCGTTGCTGGAAGAGTGGCTATTATGGCGGAAGATACCCAAGCGGCTAGAATTAGCTTTCGCGTCAAGGATGACGTAAACTGGGTGTAATATTTTAGTGGCTGGAAGAGCAACGCGGCTTTTTCGATACTCATGAGCGTAACAGTACTGAGCGATGCCAATCTTAGCGCATAAGTTGTCCAAATAAAAGTGCCACAAAGCCATTGGGGCCACGGACTGATGACGAAATGAGCCTTAATGTTTAAAATCTGCAACGGCAGCAAAGCGTTGACAAAATCTGACCCGGCCAACGATAAAATTAGCAAGTCTACAACTTTTAGTTTCTTTTGAAGACGTATCGTTAGCAGTATCAGAAAATTCTCCGACAGGATTAAAAAGACTGCCAACTCTATTGTGAAGCCGAATGGTAGATTTATGCCAGGAACTGTTAGGCCTTCATCAGTGTTGTTCAGTGTTGAATTATTTTCCATTTTTGTCTTGATTTTTGATGATTTCAAACTTTATTTAATGTTCCTGTTAAAAATTAGCAAGAATAAGTAGAACAAATATTGTATTATGACAAGATCGGATGATAGTCCTGCTCTAAAAATAAACCAATATTGCCCGCATGGCAGATGTTTTTAATTCTTTGCACGTGCATCTTTTCATTAATTCTAGTAATGTATTATGATCACTGAATAGATTCAGGTTCATACCTAATTGTTTAAAGAGCCATTTTATATGTATATTACACATAAAAGAATCATTAATTCGACGGCCATTAATCCTTGCATGTCTATTTGAATTCAGCTGTCATGTCAATGGAGAAAATTATAAGTTCAAGAATCAAGTTTATATATGTTGAATAATATTATATACTTTTACTGTAAATACGACAAAATATCGTGGCGTCATTATTAGTTGTATTTTTTATTACCACAGTGAATTTCTTTTCGAATGAAAAGCTGGGCGATACGTCTCAAGCATTCTGGGACCGGTTGTTCAAAGCTCAGCTGCATGTTGCATGATGCAGACGAAAATGGCAATATATTTTTTTATTTTCTCAGAACTTTTAAGACTATATATAATACTCTTTTACCGTTTTCTCGAAAGGATTGAAATGTCCGCCATCTTCAATTTTTGTAGATATGCACGTCACAACAGGGGTCTCGGACAACCACTAATCATTTTGCACTCAAAACTATACTCTGTCTGCCCTTCGATATATCAAGATCACTCAAAACCTTTAAAACATCTGCCAATTAATATTTGGTCATTATTTGGTGCATATTATCTAAGCATTCTGTTTGGTCAATTAAATCAAAATTATGCTGGCAGACGTTGCGTCATAGGCATAGCTTATAATTATAGTGGCGTTGATTTATTTTCTGACACGATATTTTCGATTAAAATTTTCTTATAAATCTTCTCTTTTCCCGCTTCTGTTATATAAATATGTTCTTTTGACATTAAAGAAACTAATTTTATGAAATTTTTATAAACCAGCATTGCATATACTGCTTCAGCCTGTTAGCTACTGCATGAGCGGTAATGGTATATGCAATATCCATGCCGTTGTCAGCAAGTTTAATACATGCATCCTTCTGGAAAGTGTTCAGTCTTGGCATTATACATGCAGCCTCGTTTTCGTCATTGAGATATTGGGTTTAGCCCTTTTATCTCGTTGCAGGCGACACATTTATGAAATCGTGTACAGTTAAATATAGATAACCTATAAAGGACCTTTCCAAAAATCTTGATATTTACCCATATAAAGTCATGTCTGTCGATGGAAGTCTACATTTCTCATAGGCATAGCACAAATTTGCATGCGCGGATTTGATCAAATGTGCCGTTTCACCAAGTATTACGCTTATCACCTATAATTACATCTTAGCCTAGACCATTTTTAATTATCTTTACGGCCGAACAATTGTGATAATACTTTCTTAAACTGTGTTTATCCGAACCCACTCTGTCAACTTTCCCTGATGGAGGAAACCGACTGTTTTCACATGACAAGCTTTCGCCGGTATAGGGATGCAATTACCTGAAAAATACAAGGAGAATTTCGACGTTTCGAGCGAAGGCCCTTCTCCTTATATTTTTCAGGTAGTTGCAATGTTGCATCCCTATACCAACGAAAGCTTAGTACGTGTTATTATTGAATATTGGCACTACATACACTGCAGACACAGACAGTTCTTTGCGCATGAGCCCGTAGCGAGAATCGAACCCACGGAGGTGAAAGGCGCTTTATACTCTACGCAGGCTATATAGCTCAGTGAAGGAGCTCGAATTGCCTTCAGTTTTCTTATATATAGGTTGTGTGTAGGTTACTGTAGACGACACTGTACTTGGACGCCACATTTTCAATTTAAGTCGTACAGATATATTGAGAAAGGTCTTGAAATTATATTTGAGTTAAAAAATATTACTATTATACTAATAAATATTCCTCCAATTTCAATTTATGATATATAAATTAAATTTTCCGTTAAAAAGTTCATCGGACAAACCGCAAATTTCACTCTCCAAATAACACGTTCCTTTATTGTTTATATGAATTTATCCTTATATAAAATTCTTTCGGAAACCTCTTCAATTTAAAATGTTTTCCTTCCGGCGAGGATCCGACGTTTGTGCTATATCAGTAGTTGAACTTCAAAATGCAAGTAATTAATCTTAAGACAACAATATAATATGACCCGTGTGATTGAATCATGATTTCAGCGTACCGTGTTAATCTACCTTCCATTTCGTATTCAAAACCGCCTTGCAGCTATAGCAAGGAACATAAAATTGCAGTGAATAACACATGACTGAATCTTGTGTGTATTTCTGTAATAGAAATTCTTACCACATATCAAATATAAAACTCCGCCGTTTTGACGTTTGATTCCATAAGATAAGGCTTATATTTATTTTTCAAGTCAAAAACGTTTCTAACTGGCTGACTGAAATTGCTCAGCTGATGAGGTGTTTGCAGAAAATATTATTGATGAATGTATGTTCAGAATATTCAATAACCGGTTTTATTGTTTCACCTGCCTTTAAGCCCAGGAGAAATATATGATATTGTATAGGTCATGATAATTCTGTAATTTTGTAATAAAAAGTATTTGTTTAAAAAATCCCATGTAATCTATGACATTCTTTATCTGGGTTTTGTCCTCTTTCAAAGTTCGAGAATTTAGGACAACGGCTCACCCAAAAATGCATGTGTGTGTTTTCGGTATACTCAGATTACTCTTAAAAGCCGAAACGTTGACAAGGGGAAAATAGGTAATATTAGTTTAGGACATTTGATCATTGTGTAATATTTGTTTAAAATATCTCAAGCTGAGATCGTCGGCTTTAACTCAGTGGCTTTAACCATTTGGCAAACTTAATTATTAAGATTTCTCCAGACAATAGAAAATTAGTCAAATTTAAGTGTGATCATGTATGGCGGTTTTTCAGAACAAATTCCATGCTAAAGTCCTTGGTTTTTATTCCGTGTGGAGGACTGGTTCATTTCGATCAAAAAGACAGAATCCTCTATACCAAAACTGGGACTTTCTCCAGTGCGCTCAGGTTTCCTGCAATGGGAAAAGTTGAAAGGAGAAAATGAGCCAAATGAGTGTTTGGCAGTATTTATTTAGAAAGCTAAACTGTTTTTCTAGCTTCCTGTGCATGAAAAATTCCGTGGGCACTTAACTTTATTATTATAGACCTTTTTATAGCGACGTTAAATGCGGAAAAAAAAACACTAGAAACGTGTTTACGCAAGCGGTGAAATAAAAGTATAAGGTCAGGTCTCAGTCTAGGTTGTGATCTTTATCAGCTATATGATCGAGTGACTGAACAATAGATTGCGCAATCCAAGTATGTTTGAGAACTACCGCCGTTCGTCACATTCGAAGTGCGCGCGTCTATACTGCAAGATCCTGGTAATGAGATTCGCGCCAATTTAGTGACGTAAGCCAATCTCGTACGTAAGCTAATTGATTCTACTCAAATTTGATTGGACGAGCAGAATGATGGTGCAGTACTAAAGTGCAGTAAAATGTCTTGTAAATTTGTTCTTTTTGTTATCTTCTTTTTCTGTAAACAGCTGCCTCTTGTTATGATGAACAAAAATAAACCAGGTACAAGTCACAGATGGTTTTTCTGTCATTTCTAGTTTTGTTTTAAAGTTTCACTTTTTGATATCACATTCAATGCACCCTTCCAGAAAGTACTCAGTGTTGGTTATACAGAGCCTCGTTTTTTTATTGTGATCTTGGCTTTGAAGCCCTTATATAAGCCTGGTTCACATATGCCTGCGGTATGCCTGCGACTGCATCATTATGCCTCTACTTGCGGCCGAAATACCGGCAAAGTTGAGCTCAAGTCCACTTTCACGGCCTACCGCCGATGTAACTGAGGCACTGGCGGCAATCGGCGAACAAATGTTCACATGTTTACGTTTTAAAGCTACCACCAGTATCGTCGCCGGTACGTCGCAGGCATATATGTGGGCCAGGCTTTATTCTTGATACTGATGACGTCATTATGTAATGGTCCTTTAGATTATCTATTGTAACTGTATGATGTCGTAAATCAGTAACTTAATTGAACAGTAACAAAAAACCCTCGGTTAAATTTTAATATATTTTATTCTTGTTCTTTGCTTGCAGTATCAATGGTGTGGAATCATGTGGGCACGGGATGTTTCAAGTACGATTTCTACTACCTAGTTGCAGCCAAGAGCAGAGAAGATTGCTTGCAAATATGTCAAGATGATGTGCGATGTGCGCTCGTGGCTTACCGCAAAAACAAACATAAATGTGCCTTATGTACTGAAGGCTACAAACATAAAGCAAGCTGTGGTTATCGTGTCGAACTGATCGCTAAAGGTATAAAATGAAAAAGATTGCTAACTAAACTAATTTAATTTTGTAAATATCCTTGATGAATTAAACGAAATTTGAAAATCATTTGATGCTATAAACCAACCAAGATTGCCCTTATTCGATCCCTAGCAAGAACAATTTAGATCTAATAGAGCTATCCAGTGTGAACACACAGGATCAGTTGAGCTCATTTCAGTCAATTTTATCACATAGATTTGAATGAATGTGCCATTGGAGCTCATAATTGTGAAGAGAATGCGGTCTGCGTAAATACACCTGGAAGCTTTAAATGTCGCTGTAAGACTGGGTACTACAAAGAATCTGGACAACATTGTATTAAAGGTATACTGTCGTCTAAGTTCGTGCAGAGTTCGTGTGAACATACACGAAACGTGATTGGTTGAGGAAGAAGAATACACAACAGGCAACAGCATACTGTATGCTGCTGAAACAATGCACAATACTAATTATGATTGCTATTATCTTCATTATTTTCTATTTTTTTCATTTTTAATTTCAGAAAGAACTTTATAATCTAATGTCCTCTATTCTATTATATTCTATTCTATTTTAGTTCCTGTTGTGGAGTGGATAAGTTACAAAGATAGATGTCTTGAAGTGACCTCAACCTTTGCCGTGATTGAAATTCCAAATGTTGAGCAATGTAAACTAAAATGTCAGATTACTGTCCACTGTGCAATGGTAGAATATCAACCTAATAACAACAAATGCAAAATGGCGAAACATCGCAAGTTCAAGCCAGTTCCCTCCTGTAATTCCAGGACTGATCTGTTTGTGAAAGGTAAATGTTCTTCTTGTTTTCGGTAAATTTAAAGTTGTTTCTGTTGTTGTTGTTTGTTGTTTGTTGTTTGTTGTTTGTTGTTTGTTGTTTGTTGTTTGCTGTTTGTTGTTTGCTGTTTGCTGCTGCTGCTGTTGTTGTTGTTGTTGTTGTTGTTGTTGTTGTTGTTGTTGTTGTTGTTGTTGTTGTTGTTGTTGTTGTTGTTGTTGTTGTTGTTGTTGTTGTTGTTGTTGTTGTTGTTGTTGTTGTTGTTGTTGTTGTTGTTACTGTCGTTGTTGTTACTGTCGTTGTTGTTTTATAATTCTTGTCCCTATATTTCAGCCGTTATCGAATGTGACAACGAAGGCAAGGAATGCCCAAAGCATGCATATTGTCACGCGAAGGAAGGCAATCGCCTTTGTCGGTGTCGATTCGGATACACAGGCAATGGGAAAATCTGCCATGGTATGCCACTTCTAAAATACTTGATAAGTTAACAATTACATAACCGAGACGCATCTCAAAATTAGGGCTTGTTTAAATTTACTTCCACTAACTAGTAAGTATACGAAGTAATCTTTTAATATAAGCATAGTAAGCTTAATTAAACGTAGGACATTTTTATTTCTTAAGACGTGGACGAGTGCAGTAAGTACAGCAACTTATGCGGTCAGCATGCTAAATGTCACAACACTATTGGTAACTACAAGTGTGTTTGTTTACCGGGATACCATGGCGACGGACAGTTCTGCAGGAAAGGTACGCTGAGGTATTAATCCCAAGGTAATCGTACGTCATCATGATCTTCACCATCTTCACCATGATCATCATCACATCACTATCACCATCATCATTTTCTTGATATTCTCATCATTATCTTCACACGGCATCATCATCATCTACATATCATTGTAATCACCATCATTCCCATGGACCAATAGTATTGGGACACCAAGTTATATTTGATATACAGGGGTGGACATGTGTTCTTTGTCTAATTGTATTAAATATAATTTCTTTTCAAGACAAGCTGAAGAAAGAAGACATTGAGTTATTTGAGAAGAACCACAAACAAAACACTTTTCATACGATTATCAATCTTTTCAATAATTCAGGATCACATTGTTTTGCTGCCTCGAGTCAAGTGTTCACCTTATTGGCAATACTCATTGCAAGCTTTATTGTAAACCAATTTCAATAACGAAATTTGTCATTACTAATTGCATTGAAATATATATAAAGGAAGCTTAAAACTATTGTTCTTGTGTTATGGACTATGGTTTGTTATATTTCGCATGAATTACGTCACATATTAGAATAGTGTAAATTGAGTGAATAAAATATAAATTGTGTCAAATAATTTAAAAATGAAAATTAAAGCCCAGCAAATGACTTTCAGACTAGACATAACAAAAATATAGAATTTATTGGCTAAAGTTTCGTTTGAAACTATTTGCATATATAATACACGCTTGTAATATAATACACGCTTGTAAATAAGTTTAATTGCTCTGAAGCAACCTCGTTCCCAGGCTCTTTGCTCTTGTGGCTCTGAAGATGTTGTGAACAATACAACGAAACGTTAGCCAATAAATTTATATTTTTGTTATGTCTTGTCTTGTCTTGTCTTGTCTTGTCTTGTCTTGTCTTGTCTTGTCTTGTCTTGTCTTGTCTTGTCTTGTCTTGTCTGAAAGTCATTTGCTGCAGGGCTTTAATTTTGATTTTTAAGTTACGCTTTCCACCCGGTGTATCAATCGCTACTATGTCAAATAAGTTCAAATTTAATAATAGGAATCTACAGCTTTATTATTGAAAGCATCAAATGTTCAGTAAAATGGTGCCAGTCCTATCCAATATTTAATTGGCGCAAATTACATGATGTAACTAATTAGCTTGATTAATTGCTCTTAATTGCATCTCAATGGAATGAGCCAGTAAGCATGATTATTGAACAAAAATGTCGAAGACTTTAATAATCCTAGGATTTCTATTCTTGGCACTTTCTTTATGTCTTGAACGAAATTCTGTGGAATCAAGGAGATACGGTAAGTTCAGAATTTGAAAAGCTGTTCCAAAAGTAAGCCAGGAAAAAATGCGATCTCGTGATCCCGGTTGAGAAACATTTCCAATTATATTCACACATACTTCACGAGAAAATCGCTTAACTGATGAACGTAAGGGGCAATGGATGGGTTAATTTTGACACCGATCCTTTAAGGAACCATATTGACTACTAGTATTTGAGATTGTGAAGGGACGTTCAATCTTCACATTTAAGATTATTCTGGAATGTAAGTACTGTGGTAAAATAAAAAGCATTGGCGGGGCAAAATTCAGTTTCGGACATTTGCTAACATTGAACAGGTAGGTATTGGTAGCGATCCAAAACTAGTAGCCCGATTGCGAGGAAGAAAATAGATCTAGATCCTGCAATCAGACTCTAACTTGTCTACAACTCAGGCATATATTGACTGCTGTATTGTAGCCCAGACTTTTTGAAAGTCTGGGGCTGGTTATTCAAAGCTCGCTGGATTATCCCAGGGTTAAAATTTAGCCCGCTGCTTTGGATTGGGTACATCTGGGCATTTGACATTTGTTTCTTTCGAAACTTTGAAAAATAAAACTTCTATTATCCAGTCAAGATTTGCGGGAAAATATCTCAATGTTTACAAACACGCAATATCGTACAACCAGCCCTGCATCTGGATAAAATCAATAAAAGTTGTGAGCTGGTCGATATCGAGAAAGAATTAACTTTGTTCCTTCTTTCTTCAGATATCGTTGTTAGTTGGAAAAAACATCCACCAAAATGCTATCACCTTGTCTCGTACCGTATCGTATCAGATACCCGTTCGCCTGCTGACTGCCAACGTGTTTGCGCTAAAGAAAAAAGATGTCGTACATTTCACCAGTATTGGACTTCGTATTGCTATTTATCAAACAATCGGTTTTATGAAATTGGAATTGTTGGATGTGTACGAAAAATTATTATTTACGAGAAAGGTATGTGATTCCAGGAAAAACTACTTTAAAGAACTAACCCTTCGAAAAACTAATCCTTGTATCCATGATTGGACATACAATTGTATCATTAAAATTTTGTCTGAATCGCATGTGAGGGAGGCGAGTGCTTCTGGTTGGATACGGCGTCAACCACACCCGGCCCCACCCCTGTTGGGAGGTTGGAACAAATATTGGATCGAGGTTAAACGTTTGCTACACCCTCTCTCGCACCCCCTCCGGTTGCTTACGGTTAGCCTTAGATGCACGTTCATTTGAAAACGTGTCTTCTATTTAATATTTATTCTTCACCATGTTTTTGTACAGTGCTAAAGAAGGTGTTTCGAACTAAACCGCCGACAACAACAATGGTCACAACTACGATTCCAACTACCGTCTCAACTTCGCCACTAATCATTGGTATGATACAACGTCATTATTCTTAAAAGCTTAAATTGTGCCCAAGCAGAACTGCTAAGTCTCAAGTTTTCAGGCAGAGCTGCTAAGTCTCACGTTACATAAAAAAGATCTTTGTAACTAGCCTATGGAGTTTGCCTGTCTTCAAGGCCATCATAAATTATATTGATAGACTATGCAGATACAGTTTAATGAATTTATCGTATATTATCTATTTTTTGTTTCTCGGTATTATGATTCATCATGAATCTCTACAAAGTATAATCTATCTATACTCAGTATTTTCCATCGACTATCGTCAATCATGGAGTTATCTATAAATGTAACTGATTAAAAACAATTTACCCACAAATTTCAGGTCCCACTCCAAAATGGATGCAAAACGAGGAAGACTGTTTGGAACTCGAGTCATCATACAGTGAATTCAAAATGAAAAACGAAGCTGAATGTAAACTGAAATGCTATCTTGACGAAAAATGTCTTGTGGTTGAAATAAGACCTGACCATTTCATTTGCAAACTATCAAACAAGTGGCGTTTCAAAAAAGTGAAATTATGCAACCATTGGGGTAAAATTTTTCTTAAAGGTAATTCTTTTACTGATTTCGATAACAGAAAATTTTGTTTTGGAAAATTCGTGGTGGTAGCAGAATTAATGTAACCTTTAAGAACCTTTCTTCATTATCTATTGGATCATTTAGAATTTGGAATTGTCTTCCAAAAAGAACAACTTGTTTAAGTACATTTAAGAGATTATAATTTATTTAACTT